TAAAATAATATATAACATAAATCATTTATTTGATCCTAAATATCTTCATTTTTAGCAATAAAAAAATCGTGCGGAAGTACCTTTTCAGCACGATTTTACTTTTCTGCACGATTTTACTTTTCCGCACGATTTTTTTATACACAATACCTATTTACCTAACAAGTGCGGAAAATGAAATGAAAAGGAGTCCCTACCTTCGCGGGGCTATGCCACCCAAAATAGTGGACCCCCTGGGGGGCCGTGCCCCCAAATAAGGGGTCCGCCCTCCAAAAAGGAGCACCCAGGGCTTCGCCCCCCCAAAAAGGGGCCCCGCGGGACTATGCCCTCAAATAGGGGGCTACCGCGGGGCTCCGCCCCCCAAATAGGGGGCCCCGAACTTTAATATGGGTACACTTTTCAGTAAAAGTAAAAATCGTGCGGAAAAGTAAAAAAATAGTGCGGAAAAGTAAAATCGTGCGGAAAAGTAAAATCGTACGGAAAAGTAAAATCGTGCGGAAAAGTAGAACTTTCAAAACGAAAAATCGTGCGGAAAAGTAACTTTTCCGCACGCTCGTAGGAAAACTAATTTCAACACGTTTCAACCAATTAAATTCATTCTGACTGGTTTGTGATATCTTTGCGAACAGACCTATTGAAAACTAGTCCAAATGATCTCAAAGAATTAATAATTTTTAAGAAAACATTGCATAGAAATTATAAAAATATTGGTTCTCTGGATGACTACATTAGGTTTCATAGGAAGTGCAAAAATCTATACACTCCAGATCCGCTTACTCTAGAAATGTTGAGTCGAGTCTACAATTAATTCAAGCGTCTACCTAAGGAATCGCTATACATTTTTTGGTCAGGTTTAAGGTCAATTCCCACTTGCGTTTCACTCAGCTCGGCGACGCGACACGACACGCCGTGCTGCTAATTACCGCTAGATAAATATTTCATTGTTTTAAATGAATAGTTTCCCACGTACACTGCAAAACACTTTACGACGCGTCGCATTTGAACCAATGAAATATTTATCTAGCGACAATTTGCAGCGCGGCGTTGTTTCGCGTCGTGGCGCCGAGCTGAGTGAAGTGTAAGTGAGTATTGACCTTTATTCACTGTCTTATAATGAAAATGCCAATATACAGTGTGTCCATGAAGTAACGGATAAATTCATTCAAAATTTAGGCATATTTTTTTTTTGGAAAAATGCTCGAATACGTCTATCTAAATTTTTTGTATTCATACAAGGTGACCCAAAAAAGAGATATCGCCTGACACTTAATTTTTTTTAAAATTGAATGCGCTGTAGTCTTTAACCGTTTTTCTACAAAAAAATAAAAAACTGTACAGCAGTCAAGGCTTGTGTCAAGGCAAAGAAATGGAAAATTATAAAAAAATTTGCATTGTTCTACCGATATTCATCAGAATATACAGGGCATTCCATTTAAAAAATTGAAGTGTCATGTGATCTCTTTTTTGAGTTGCCTTGTAAAAATACAAATTAGTTTGAAACCAGCGCCACTGAAAATTAAGATCGACGTGTCGATTTATTCTTGCTCCGGTTCTGCATGAACTCTATTCTAAATCTCTAAGCTCTGGAATTCTTCCTAAGAAATGGAAAGCTAGTTTTGTTACACCTATATTTGAAAGTGGGGCAAGGGATAAAATTGAAAACTATTGTTCAATTCAACCATTCACAAAAACAAATGTATGCATGTATTAGATAGAACAGAAATTATTACTTGCCTAGGCGAAAGCTTTTATATTTAATTTTAATAATAATAATAATAATTATAATATTTAACAAACATTTTAGAATTACAAATGGCGGAGTTGAAGCAAAGCTTCCTATCTCAACCAGAGCACAATAGTGCAAACATTATAGAACGAAATACAGAGTACTTATTACTTTCAATCATAAGTCTATCGCAAGTCCTTAGACTAGTACCTAGCACGGGTGCTAGTATAAAAAAAAATATACGAATACACAAATATAAAGAATATAGAAAAAGATACAAAGTATAAAGTATACCTAAGGGAAATGTTAAACACCGAGTTAAACACATTATACAGGCCAGAGAGACAATGGGGGTGATGGTACGAGCTCAGACAAAAATTTTAATATTTTGCCAACAAATTGCTTAAAATTATACTCAGAGGTTGTTTTGTAATCAGCAGGAATTTTATTGTACATTTTTGATATTTGGTAGCTGAATGATCTCTCATACATGGATGTAGCATGCATGGGAGGAGTTATTGTAAATTTGTGTCTAAGCTTCAAGTTATGGGCATCATACCGAAACTTAATTTTATCATACAGATAGTCAGGACATCTTTTACAAATCAATTTGTTAAACAGAACCAAACTATGTAGTGCGCGTCTTTCATTCATTCTTAGCCATTTAATTTCGCACAACTTGGCACTCACACCCCTCTCACGGCCCCTAATACCACCTATCAACCTGACACACGAATTCTGCATGAGCTGAATTCTTCTGGAATCGGAGACCAGTAGACAGGGTCCGTACAGTACATCGCAGTAGTTAAAGTGAGATAAGACAATGGAGTCGCATAACACTTTCCTAAGATTCTCATTAAGCAGGGCTCGTTGGTTAAATATCAATTTGAGGTTGGCAAAAGCCCTCTTGACACAGTTATTAATATGCCCCGAGAATCTTAGATCAGTGTCCATGAGTAGACCCAGATTTTTTGCCGTACCACATGCACTCAAAACCAGGTTGCCAAGTCTTATTTTTAAAAGATTCAGGCTTTGTTCACGGCTCCGGATCCGGCCAAACAGCAGAACCTGCGACTTATTGGGATTTATTTCTAGGCAGTGCGCTTCAGAGGCCCTCTTAAGCGCATTCAGATCGTGCGTCAGTCTGTCGTTGGCTATCATTATTTGATCAGGCTTGAATGAGAGATAAAGCTGTGTGTCGTCAGCATAGCAGTGTACAGTCGAGTATCGCAGACATGTGATAAGCTGCGATGTATAGAGGGAGAAAAATAGTGGCCCAAGGATAGAACCCTGAGGTACACCACAAGTCATCTCCACAGGCCGCGATATCTTGCCATTAACCTTGACGATTTGGTTTCGTCCAGTGAGGTATGACCCAATAAGAACCCTCGAAGCATAGTCAAATCCCAGATAGTGAAGTATGCCCAAGAAAAGAGTATGGTTGAGACGATCGAAGGCTTTCGAATAGTCCAGGAGAACCAATGCAGTCAAATCGCCACGATCCGAAGCCTTCAGAATGTCATCCGTCACCTTTAAGAGCGCCGTTGCGCAGCTGTAATTTTTGCGGAATCCAGATTGGACAGAGGGCAAGATTTGATGATGGAGCACGTATTCCCTCACTTGGCACTCAAGGAGCCTTTCGACGACCTTAGAAAGAGTAGGCAGTATGCTGATCGGCCTTAAGTCCTTTAGCTCGCTTGGGGAAGGCACCTTCGGAAGAGGCAAAACGTAGGAGGTTTTCCAGCATTCAGGAAAATATTGTGTCTCGATACAGAAATTGACTAGATGAACAATCACTGGTATGACATGAGGACAACAGTGAAGCATCATTGACAAACCAATGCCGTCATAACCAATGGCCGTTGACTTTATGGAAGATAAGGCCAATTCAACTTCCTCGGTCGTCACCAGTCTGAACGCAAAGCTGGCAGCATTGTCCCGTCTATTGTTAAGATAGTAGTTCAGGGTCTCTGGACTCGGATCGCCAGACTGAGCGGCACCTGCAAAAAATTCATTGATATCGTCGGCATTGCCCAAGTTTTCAGGGACCACCCTCTTAGCTTTCGAATGAATATCGAGTTCCCTTAACAGCTTCCAGTTCTCCTTTGGCCCATTGTTTTGAATATTTGTTTCAAGATATGCCCTTTTCCCCTATCAATAGCTATACTAACTGTATTTCTCAGATGTCTATAAGTCTCCCAGGCAGTAGCAGTTTTATTTCTTTTATATTTTGTTAAAGCTCTATCTCGAAGAGACATAAGATTCTTCAAGTCAGTGGTTAGCCAGGGAGCCCTATTTTTAGTAATTCGGGAGGTTTTTATTGGTGCATGCAAATTAAAAAGTTCCAAAAGACAGAAATTAAAAGCATTCACTTTTAGTTCGATATTAGGCAGATAATAAATATCCTCGAACCGTATACTTTGGAGATCCCTACAGAAAGCCGCACGATCAAAATTCCTATAGTCCCGATAAGTCGCAAGGAAGGGCTGCTGCTTAAAAGTCTCAAGTATTAGTTGACAAGTTATCAAGAAGTGGTCAGAGCCATCAAAAGTGAGATCGACCCCAGAACTCTGAACCAGGTCCATATTAGAACACAAGATTAAATCAATAAGCGTAGCACTATTCGCCCCCCGTCTTGTAGGCTCATCAACAACCTGAGCTAGGTTATATGCTGCCAAAAGCATCAAAAAGCGTTGTGTATGTACACAATCCAAATTCAACATGTTTAGATTGAAATCACCAGTGCAAATCAGGTTGTTACAGGTTAATAGGTTTTTACATATATTATTCTCAAACTCCTCGAAAAAATCGTGCATATTAACATAGCCAGGACGTCTATAAATAACGCCAAAAATCGTTTTTATTTTTTTAATTCTAAACTCTATCCAGACCTGCTCTGCATATTCAGATTTGATATTAGGTATTACGTTGAATTTAATGCTATCCCGAACATATAGCAGTACACCGCCGCCACGACCGTCACCACGATCCTTCCTCACGAGCCTGAAGCCCTCGAAACTTACCACCCCATCAGGGGTCATATTTGTAAGCCAAGATTCCGAAACGGAAAAGATATCTATGTGATTATTTAAAATATAGTCCTTAATTCTATTCAATTTTGGAACGATTGACCTGATGTTTATGTGAGCTATCCTGAGTTTATTACTCAAATGATTTTTATTGATTCTATTCAGAGACATTTTTGAAATTCTAAATATATGTGTAACATATTGGGATAAAGATAAAAAAAAAAAAAATAATTAAACAAAGAGGAAACCTAGACATTTGTTTTTAAACTATCCACTTGTCCCGATGTAATTATGCGAATCACAGGGGCACCTTCAGTCTTTCTGGCTAAAATGTTGTCATCTTTGCACCAGACGTATTTAAAGCACACAGTAGCAGTGCTCAGTCTCTGGGATCTAACAGGTACCAGAGGTTCATCACTTTCTTCAGGCTCCAAGTCACTAGTCTCAAGGTTGATAGAACATGTGACACAGCACCATTTTTCATCTGTTCTAAGTAGTTCGAAAGCAGTAAACTCCTCATCTGTCAATCCAGAGCAGGACTTGTGGAACCATTCCTTGCACCCACCAGCACATTGAATTTTGTTTTGAGTTTTTGTAACATTGCCTTTACATTTGGGACCAGTTAGTGACTTTTTCTTCCTGTTTCCTGCCATTATTCAGCCCAGGTTTATATTTTAAAAAAGGAAATATATATGTAGGTATATAGAAAGATAAAAGTTCAATATTGATGTGAAAGAATAACTACAATACGGTCCTGTACTGTAGAATATCCTCGATCAGCTAACTTGCATAGGCTCAACAAAACACCAATGACGAGAGAAAAAAAAAAACGAACCTAGCACACTCGCAAAAAAAGGGTTCCGTCGTAGGTATTTTATACACTGTAAGTTATTTTGCAATGATTTAAAATTATTTCACCTACTTAATTGCTTCCTTAATACATAATACTCGTCTGAGATTTCTGTCACATTAAAACTATGATGCCCTCCTGCCAGGGCCGGATTAAGGGGGGGGGCTTTGGGGGCTAAAGCCCCGGGCCCCGAAATGAGGGGGGCCCCAAAACACCACCTCACACGGGGAAGAAATCATGCATATAAATTTACAATTTCGATTTCGGCATCTATTATCTATCAATTATATTGAATACAACACTACCCTATATTATTATTGAGTAGCTGGCTGGTATAATAATTGATAGATGGCTCACTATCCGCATAAAAGCTACAGTGACTTTATAAAAGACAGTGGCGACAATAGGAACCTTGATAGGGCCCACCCGCCATGTTTTGTTAAAACAAAATATCCAGATGGTAAGGATGAACTTTTGTTACGAGGTCCAAACAAATTTAGAGTGCAAAAATTCAATGTCAGTCTGGACAAACTTTCTCAAGAATTGAGTAAACGTTCTGAAGCGTATGAATATGTTGGTAATATCATTGGGTTCTTAACAAAAATGCCGAATATTTCGGAGCAGGAACTTAAGGCAAGTTCTTCAAGAATGAATTGATGCAGTTTTGGGCTTATATTCGAGACTTGAAAAGATGATGGCTTGAATGTTCATTTTTTTAAGGCAGATGGAAGAAAAAGACCTTTTCCAGGTTTTTCCAAATGTTAACATTTTGAGAATATATCTATCCATACCTATCACAAATTGCGAGGGTGAAAGGTCTTTTAGTACTGTAGCTTATATTAAAAACAAATATCGTTCTGCAATGGGGGATAATAGATTATCGTCACTTTCGCTTTTGTCAATCAAAAACGAATAGGGTATTCCAACAAAAAAAAAAAAAAAAAAAACAGTCAGGGCACACAATTCAATAGGGAATTTTCATATTTCTCAAATTTTTTTTTTTTTAGATACTTCTTGTGATCAGTTATAACAAGTTTTCTTTTTTTCCATTTTAATTTATACGTTGTACGAAAAAAAAATTATTGAAATTCAAATCAAAAACTTTGGCGCGAAAACACAAAATCTCAATATGACAGCGTTTGTGACGTTAAGATTTTGTAAACAACAAATACGTAGTTAACGAACTCCTGCTGACGCAGTGCTATTTTTGTGTTATTCAAGTGTGTTTAAATGTGCTTTTTGTGAAAATTGTCGAAATGGATGAAGAATATTGTAAAGGACTGCTTTTGTATTTTTTTTTTTTACTTGCAAGTTCCCTATTGACAGGTTTGTTTACAGAATCGTGACGTCAAAAAAGGTAGCCATCATGGAAATATTGTTTTGGCGGGAAATTTTTTATTTCAAATTTTATATTACTTTTTGTGTAACAAGGGCGGTATTAGTTAGATAAAAACCGGTCATATAAATGTTTTCCAGTATAAACTATCGATTTAAAACAAATTTGGAAAATTTTAGTTCACATGCAAGTTCCCTATTCTGTCAATTTTTCTGAAAATTTGATATGATACTCCTCTCAACATTCTGATTAAAAGTGTTCATAGTCTTAACTTAACGTCCAAGAAATGCACACATTTTATATGCATTTACATCTACCTGTCATGTCACCTAATAAGACAGGTAGATGTAAATGCATATAACATTAAACTACCTGTATCTCGAAAACTAGTCATAGGATCAAGTTGTGGCTATGGCTATGAACACTTTTAATCAGAATGTTGAGAAGAGCATCATATCAAATTTTCAGGAAAATTGACCGAATCACCAAATCTCATAAGAGGTGTGCGGGGTCCTTTTGATTACCACCTCTTCTGTATTATATTGTTTGTTCTGTAAGTAAATAGAAAATTTACATTTTTTTACCCTGCAAGGTAAAGTTTTGAGTGACGTGTGAACTTATTTCAGGGACCTAGGGGCCCCTTTTGTGAAAATAGCCCCGGGCCCCAAAAGACCTTAATCCGACCCTGCCTCCTGCATCCACTAGTATAACTTTCACTACTATAACCGGATTATAACCCAGTCAAAAACGCATTTTTATGGGAGGACACACACTATCAGCTTCCGATTCGAAAAAATTTGTTTTTTAAAATATGTATTCGAAAAAATTAAAACTAATAATGTTGGGGCAGATCATTTAGAGTTTTACTAGCAGAATAACTAAAAAAACTTATAAATAAACTAGTAGAATGCCTTGGTATGTGAAAAATATCCCTATTCCTAGTATTTCGGCCATGTATGTCAGCCATTCCTGTGGGTTTAGTGTCTCCCGCATATATTCAGGCGATTCCACTTAAAGCAATCTACACAAAAAACTTGCCAGATGCAAACCAAACTGTGACCGAATGGGCTCGATCGAGAGCTCGACACATAATATCGTATCGTAAAGCAAATTGAACGCAAATGTTGGGGCTCAAAAATATATTTGGAGCATAATTCCCATGAACAAATATACCATGCCTTAGATGCGACTCTATTTGTGCAGAATATGCATTCCTAGCAATACTTAGTTCTTAGAAAACATTGTTTGCTCAATAATGATATTTAAATATTAAATAATGATAGGTCTTGTGATTATTTAAAATTTTTATTTCAAACAACACAGGAAATAGTTGGTGGAGATGATAAAACTATGGTCATTTATTCTTTTATAAGAAATAATTATGTGGGATAAGAAAAATTTGTTTTTGAAATGATTTTTAGGTGTCCTCGAGTCTTAAATTTCATTTAGTGACTGAATCGCATTTTTCACATAAACAATAACAAGTGTGTTTTTGTTCAATTTAGAATATAAAAAATGCAAAAACCTATTTGTATCAGAGTTTTTTTTTTTAATATTGTACAAAAACAGCATTTATCTCCTTATTTATACTTACATAATATTACATACATTAAAAATGTTGTCATATTCTTTATATTCAATCAATCAAACTAACTTTATTTTTTTGTTTTACAGCAGCCAAGCCTCATATACCCATATAAGTGGTTTAGTGAATAACACGCGAAATCGACGTCACAGTGCAAGTTTCAGTCAAGTTCCAGGATCTCCGGTAAGAAATTTCACCTAAAATTATAGGTATTTCCTAGTTTAACTATGAGCATGTTTTTCTAGGTATCTGGTTTGCGTCGTATTCATCAATTGAGGCAAGAAGAGCACGATGTGGTATCAAATTCTAGGGAACTCGCTCATGAAAAGGAGATCCATAACGCCATGCAAATTTCCCAATCCTGGGAAGATCTTTCATTATTGACCGAATCTCCTGGTGAATCAAAAAGCAGCCGCATGGGACCTATACACGTTAATCTACCGCCCACTTCTTTTATGTGCAATTCTCCTTCTCCTACTAGGTAGCTATGATTGGTATTTTTGAAATTGATAATGAAAAGGTTATTTGGTAGCTGGCTAATAGTGGTTTGAACCTATGTTTAAGACAATCTTGATTCTTCAACTCAGCCAGTCACAATGTTGGTATTTTAAAGTTTTTATAATTATTACTTGGGTTTTGAATAATTTCGAAATAGCATTGCAATAAGAAAAACTATGCTGACGATTTTACTATACATATAGTCCAGGCGATTTACTCTCGCCGTTATCAGATTATCACTTAATCATTCATTGAATTATTTATTGTCATAATAGGCAGAACTACATTCTGAATTACAATTACCTGTACATACATATGATCAAATATGTGTGATAAAATTTGCTAAAAACAAAATTGAAAACACTAATTTTCTGAATATCAATTAATACCAGATTTTTGAGGAAATTAGTGAATGATGATTTAAGACTTTTAGGCACAGCTTCAAGCTTTTCAACTACAATTTGAACTATTGCAGGAATTTTTTTCTTTTCCTCTACTGACTATCCTTTTTATTATTGATCAATACCAGGACAGATCTTTATGTTAACTTATCATTAGGAGTTATGGATTTCAAAGTCCTACTAGAAGTCGGCAAACCTTTATACGTCGCAGTGAAAGTCCCGTGCTGGTACTGAGGCCCAGCCCTCTAGGAGGTGCCAAACGCAAACTGGATGACCGAGATCAAGTTGATTTTTCAGTGAATCCGCGCCCGAAAAGGGTTTACAGTTACTCAGCTAGCGATAGCCGAGGGTTGTTAACCACCACAACAAATTCTTTGCCCGGTTCCTTAAGCTCTGTGGGAACTCCTGAGAGCCTTTCAAGCGCTGACTCTCCAGGGTCCGGCTTCACATTTCGCGCAGTGGACAGTCCCTCTCCTACTCTACAGAACAACAGCAACAGCCATGGGGAACCTATGGTAGTGGGTAAGGGTGGTGATCAGGATATGGCCGAGAGTCCTAGTTAATTATTTTTGGCTGGGTAATGTGGTGAAAAACATGTTTACGCTTTTTTAGTGCGGCTGAGGAGCAAAATGTGGGTATGGAAGGTTTCAATTCCTAACTGAGTTGATTTTGACTTTAGAGGATTTTTATTTTAGTTGCATTTTGTCAATAACGAAATGTAATGTCTGTCCAACATATTTGCAAAGTTACCTCAAAAAAATAATCCCTATGTCTTAGATAGATAGACTCTTATTTTTTGGGGATTTCAATTATTTAAAAAAAAATAATATTTAAAATAAAACAAAAAACGCTCGAAAACGATTCTTTTTTGTTACAACATCGTGGTCAACAACAAGAAGCACGTGACATTTGCATTAAAATCAAGCTTATTGCGCACAAACAGTTTCTGAGTTTCTGAGCAAATTTAGCTTATGATCAAATTTAGCTCAGATGTTAAATGTTATTAAGCTTTTTAGTGCACTTTGATCGAAATCATGCCATAGGCTTTTTGGGATCACCCACAAAACAATTTGAAACAATTTTCCATGCATATAAGAATATTTGATGTATTTTTGTATCTGTTTCTGTATCTCTCTATATCCACTGAAATATGTAGTAATAATTTTTGTCTACACGGACACTTACTCCTGCAGATTTCGCATCTTCGCAGTCCTTTAACAAAGAATGCTGACTGGAAAATTGAAAAAAATATATTTGTACAAAACTTTTTTACTGTTTTGGGCCAACAAACTATAAAGATCCTCTAAAATCAAAAATATGCAATACCTTGGTACCCACCTACCTACCAACCTACCTACTTGTTTAGAAACGTTGATCGAATTATTCCTTAATGAATACATTTTCTATAGTGTGGAATTTTTATCAGTTAAGGAAAAACAACAAGCATTGATTTTTTTTCAAATGTTTCAATATCATTTTATGAATTTACAATTTACTGACAATTAAATTGTGCGTTATATTTAAGATTTTGCAGCGCAAAAAAAAATGGGTGCAACACCAAACATTTATATTATGTAATATGTAAAAAGTAGATTAGTTAAGTTATAATTACCTAATGGAATTTCAAAGTATAATATAATAAAATTCATTGCTGCCATATTATCAAATTTAACTCTATCAGCTGTTTCGTTTTTGCACAAACCTTTTTGGGACCATATATTAGTTCCCTAACTCAAGTAACTTTTGGAAACTGAAACAATTGTGTGGTAGTTTTTCAGAAATTTAAAACTTATTCAGCAGCTGATAGGGCTAAAAATTGGGAAAACAAAATGAAGTAGCTCTAATTCCTTTTGTTAAAATATTTAGATTAAAAAAAAAAAAATTCATATTTTTTTTTCAAACCGCCGAGGTTTCTTTTCTAGTGTGATAAAAACATAAATATGCCAAAAAAATATAGAGAAGTATAGAAACTCACATACATATTTTTGGATTTGAAGAGGTGCTTTTTAAAAGCATATGAATTTATTGCAAATTTTTTTCTAGTCTAAAAGAATTTGATTTAGGATCTAAAACGTTTTAAAGGGTGCTGATGTTTATTTATTTTTTTGAAATGTGGAAATACATAATGTACAATCTTTATATTTTAAAATAAATGTCAGCTCATTAAGGCTTATTTAGACCATTTCTACTTCTCCTTTTTATTGTAAAAAGATTTGTATATACATATTTATTATTAAGATATAAAAGATTAATTTCAAAAGTTGATTGTGCAAAATATACAGAAATTAGTTATTTCGTTTTCTGTAGGTGTTTTTCTATGCTGGGTGGTGCAATGAACAACATACTTTTTGAAAGTTTGCCATTTTGAAGCTTATTAATATGTATTGGCTTTGGGTATTAACGTAAAGTGAAACAATAGATTAGAGAGTTCTCGTGCCGTTCAAATTTCAAATACCGTAATGCTATTTGACAAGTATGGAGGAATCTTCAAGATAAATAAAAGTTAGAGAACAAGCAAAAAAAGTTGGGTTAGATCACTCAACTCAGCTGACAAAATGTACACGGGTCCAGATGGTATACCTGTCATTCTATTACAAAATTGTAAATATGTTTTAGCAGAAATTCTTTGTAAAATTTTTAACTTATCCTTAAGTAGTGGAATGTTCCCCTTGTGTTGGAAGAAATGTTATGTGACGCCTGTTTTTAAGGATGGGGATCGCTTTGATATAAAAAATTATCGTGCTATTTCAAAAATATCTCTGATATCTAAGATTTTTGAATCGATAATTGCAGATAAAATAACACCTAATTTTAGGCACATAATTGTCAGCGAGCAGCATGGTTTTGTGAAGTCGAGATCGACAATTTCCAATCTGCTATGTTATGAGCAGTCTCTGTTGGAAGCCTTGGAGAATAAGTGTCAAGTTGATGTCATCTACACAGATTTCTCCAAGGCTTTTGACAGGGTTGATCACGGCATCTTGTTGAAAAAGCTGGAAGCTATTGGAATACATGGAGAGCTGCTTGGTTGGTTTGAAAGTATGTTGAGAGGTAGAACGCAGGCGGTTAAAATAAAAAACTATATTTCATCTGAAACAAGAGTTACCTCGGGTGTTCCCCAAGGTGGACACCTCTCAACTTTTTTATTCAACTGCTTTATTAATGATGTTAAAGACTCTTTCCAGCATAGTAGATTTCTTGCTTTCGCTGATGATTTAAAGCCATTCAGAGTTGTACAAACAATATATGATTGCCGGTTGCTGCAGGAGGACTTGGATCGTTTTTCTGTATGGTGCACTGATAATAATCTTTCATTGAATGTTAAGAAATGTAAAGTTGTTTCATTTAGTAGATCAAAAAATTCTCACAATTACAATTATTTGCTTAATTCTGAACAGCTTGAGAGACAGTCCCTAGTAAAAGATCTTGGTATTTGGTTTGACTCCGAACTTACTTTTACTCATCACATTGATGTAATTACCAACAGAGCAATGCGTTTGCTGGGATTTATCTTTCGAACACTGCGAGGATTTGAGAATATTTTCACATTCAAGTTACTCTACTGTGCCCTTGTCCGCTCAATCCTGGAATATGCCAGTTGTGTGTGGCAACCATTCTATGGTGTACATAGAAAAAGGTTGGAAAGAATTCAGCATAAATTTTTGAGTAGAATAGCTTACAAACTTCATATTCCATCTGAGGAAATTAACTATGCTGACATTATGAAACTTTTGAATTTGACATCACTGGAAAATAGAAGAAATTTTTTGACATCTCCACCTTCTATAAAATCATAAATAGTATGACCTCCTAGCGGCTATTAGCATTCATGTTTTTCCAATAAATGTTAGAAATAGGATTCTGTTTGATGTTGATTTTCATAGAACTAATAGACCGATCTCCTATTACCTGGGCTGCGTTCAAAAAAGGCTAAAGCCAAGCCAAAATTGGCATATTACGTTCAAGTTCGGCTCCAGCGTGCCAAAAACGGTTGGCTTTACACGTTCAGAATCGGCCGCGGTAAAGTAACTTTTGGAGGTGCTTTTAACTGAGTCTAGAAATGGTTATACGAATTTTGATTGGATGAGACCAAATTCAATATGGCGTGGCGGCCAGCAAGTTAGTTTTGAATATGTGTTTTCAAGTTTTCATTCATATTTCAATTATTTTGCTTCGAGTTTTGCTTGCAGCTTTGATTTTGATTATTCAATAAAATATTTGTAGGAACCGTAAACTATTGAGTTGGGCAGAAACCAGATATTTTTTTGTGTTTTTTCGTCCATGTGTGGACGCCACGCCATCTTGAATGTCACGTGGTTTGGATTGTCTAATAGAGAAACGGTATTTGGCGTTCCAGCAAATTCACATCAGATTTGGTATTGCCGGTAGAAGGGGAAAAGTAGGTTTTGGCATTAGCATTGCCGTCTTTGAACGCACTCCTGGGCTGCGCGCGTCACTTGTAGGCTGCAGGTGAGCGTCCAATGAGAAGCAAGTTTATGACAGGCTTGCGTCATATTCTTATTCAGGGGCCAGTTCAGAATGAATCGTTCCTTCTTTCTTTGTAACGTGTAATTTGACAAAGAGCAAACTAATACTTTACATATTACTTGAACTCACCGCAGTTTCGTTTAAGGTTATGTTAGATTATACTTGACATATTCCTTCGCAATTTCATTGAGCGATGTTGCCGGATGAAACATTTATCAAAATAAAAGTGCAAACGATGTTTATCCACTTTAAAGCTCTTCTTTTGTCTGATTTAAGGCGTTGTGAAACACTTGAGATTATATTACTTCTTTAATGTTATAATGTATTTTCTACATTTGTTCTGCAACAATACAATCTGGCTACACTGCAGCCTACGAGTTGCGCGCGCATGTCATCTTTTATTGTTTATTTACGACTAATGTATAATGTGCGTATTATATTTGTCATTTTGGCAGTATAATGACATATGTTATTCCTCCAGGGATTAATGACGAGTAGCGGGATTAATGGTCATTATTCCACAAAAGTGTCAGTGTCAAACGTGTAGTGCTTGTGGATTTGTATTGAAAATTATGAGACGGATGAAATTTGTTAATTGAAAATCTCAAATAAATTAATTTGTCGTAAATAAAGTAGAGTATACTACTCGCAATAATGGCTATTATTCCCTCGGAATGTTACTCCCTCGCCGCTAACGCGGCTCAGTTCGTAATAATCCTCGGGAATAATAGCTATCATTATTGACTCGTGGTATAATCTACTATTTCTAACTTGTATTTATTACAATAAAGCTTCCTTTTTCTAATCATAGGAGATAGGTCTATTATTCTATTATATCTGATTCCTTGATACATTATATTTTGTCCTTTTTGACTTTTTGTAGAAATAATTAATTAACTATTGTAAATGCTATATGCGTGAATAAAATTTTGATTTTGATTACACAGAATAAGGAATAAGGGATTCGAGGATTTATGTGTCTCCGTGTCCGAGAACTATAAAATACCATGTGAAATACCGTGTTATTAGCGGTACCGTATTAGTGTAGCGTCTGAGGCACGAGAACTTTTTTCTGACAATAGGGTACTTGCATGGAAAATCAAATTGATTATTGTTCATTGCAAACTGTGGGAAATCGAAAAAAAATCGTTATTTTTTTTTGAATTTCGCCGAAATATGATTATTCCGGAAATTATACAAATATTAGGTTTTGCATATATAGATATACTGAGCATGTGCAACGTCACTAATTTATATGATAAGTGACGTCATAGGCATATTTCATAGCGTTGTATCTCCATCAATTTTTGACTAAGAAGAAAAAGAAAAAACACTTGTTTTTTATGCAAGGGGCCTATTCAGTATGAACCATAGTACATGAACTTTATTGACACATTCATCAATCAATCATTATGAAATACATACAACAAATAACAGGTTAATTAATACATAATGAACACTACAAATCCTCCTAGTAGATGTTCAGTTTTTTTGGTTGTTTCCTTATTCTGGTACTTCTTCGCTATGTCTCAGCATTTTCAGGAATCTGATTTGGTTTGGTTTTTGATTGAAAGAAGGTTGGCATGTTTTGGTTAGCACTTTCCATGGAAGAAGCCTTTTGGTCATCTAATGTATTTTCTGTTAAATTAGAAACTTCTGGTATCAAATCGTCGATTATCGATGAGCTTGTGCTTTGCTCAGGATCAATACCAAAAAAATGTTGCGTATATGAATCGCCTACAATATTTTCTCTTGTAGTATTTTCTGTTTCCAGGGTTTGTTTTATGTCTGGAACATAATAAACGTTAGATTGTGATACTGGACACTCTACTTTAGTTGAGGCAATTTGATTTATATGTATTCTGATTATTCTATCTTCCATTTTATTCAAATAAATAAGATTGCTCCTGTCAAAATTTCTCACTCAAACAGTTTCGCCCACCATACATTCTGAAACTGCTGGATTTGCCATCTCAATGGGTTTTTGAAATCTAACTAGATCTAATTTAGTTCTTATTTCTCTTCCATACATCAGTTGAGATGGTAACTGTATTTTTCTGTATTGCACGGTTCTTTTGGAGTATCCCAACAATGTGGAGGAATTTTAGTTTTGTTGTGTAACATAGATTGACAACTTTGACATTTCTTAGCCAATTCTTCAATATCAAAATCTATTCTTGGCCACCAAACAAAAGAACGTGCAACTGATTTCATCCTCACTATACCGGTATATGTAGTCGGTTTTCGCGGTTAACCGGCATACCGGGAAATTTCCCGGTCTCCCGCCTGTCCCATCCGTCCCTGGTGGTTGCAAAATATAGACAATCACCCGGTATTTACTGCTAGGCAGGCAATGCCTCCCTTGCCGTGAATTTTCCAAAGGTTTTTTTGAAGGCTTGAAATAAACGCTTTTAGGACTGGCACCCGAAAAAAATTTTGGCCTCCGGCGGGCTTAAGCACCCTCGCTCTAATATGAAAAAACCCAGGCAGGAAGGGGGCGGCAAATATTGAATTGCACACGGGCGACCAACACCTTAGCGGCGGCCCTGTGAACCTGCCCTGCCCTGCGTTGTCTGTCTCACCTGCGTCTCAATGTGCGGCTAGCTTTATCGGGAGTAATAGCATAAGTGCATCAAAATTACCGATAATTTTGAATGAAAGCGTGTTTTCTAAAAACTGCATGATTTAATTTTAATTCAAATTTCTAAGATGACCTAAGCGCATCCACCTCTGCTAGCGGTGGCAGCTCCTCGGTTCCCATGCCATCCTTTCCTGATAGCATGAGGTCTGCGAGACTGGAGCGATTCCTCCGCCAAAGGTCTTGGTACTTTCTGTACCTGCTTTGGCGTTTACCGCTGCCGGACGAGACTTGCCCATAGTTTCTGCCGTCAGGTTTGTTCCTGCGGCTCTGCATAGGTTTCTCTGTTCTGCTCTTTCCTGGCCGCCCTTTCCTTTACTCGTCGATTTGC